TTGAAAAGAATAAAATCCTAAATTGGACTTTACCAAAATTAACTTCTTCTCTTCAGAATAAGTGACTTGAGAAATGAGAAGGAGTCTACCCCCTGGGAGAACGATTTTATTGACTATATATGACAAAAATCTTTTATTTAAAATATAAGACTTAATAACAAGATGAACCACCCAGTAAATAAAATGCGCAAAAGACTTGGGTAGGTATTTCACAAAGAAGACATACAAACTGATAAATGACTGATAAATATGTGAAAAAATGTTCAATGTTGTTGTTAGCAAATGCTAATTAAAATCACAATGACATACCATTTTCCAAACAGGGTCACACTCATATGTTCTGATATATAGGACAAGGACACCACTTCTAGGGGGCCACTCTTCATCCTATACTTGGGCACACACTCAGTTAGTGGCCCCCGCATGCCTTTATTGGCTGTAATACATAACCAGCGAAGAGCACACAGCACAGCATTTCCCTAAAGAGCACACATCCTTCAGCCAGCTCCTGGGATGGAGCAATGGAGCCTCACCACCCAAGAACTCTAGAAAATCAGGGCAATTGTGCCCTCATGAACTGTCATGAGGATATTGTGGAATAATGGCTGTGGAAAGCTCAGCCCTATGGGCTCAGCCCTATGGGGAACACGTAGTAAGCACTAAATAAAATCTATCCTACCTTTCTTCATAGGATAGAGCATGGAGCCATGGTCTAGACAGAAGGTGCTAGGACTGAGTTTGGCAGCGGGGGAAACATTTGCACATCTGCAGTTGGGGCCCCCAGAAGAGCAGAAGGAGCTGCCCATCTTCTGGCTGGTACAAAGGGACTGACATAATAACCAGGAGAGCTGTGATTTTCACACCTGTGTGGGCACCTCACCTATGGCAGCACAGGAAAGCAAATTGGGTTTATGTTGCAAATAGAAAATGATGATGCTAATTATCTTACATTGTAGTGGCCCAGGCTGGTTCCCCGAGCACTTTGCCTTCCATTACCTTGTTTGATCACACTATGAAAGAGAAGAGACTTCCATCTCAGGTCTTGACTGCCTCTATTCCAGATCAGAGAACACCTCCCCCCACTCCACTGTAGATTGGGCTTTTGGGTCTTGTTTTGTTCCAGCAAAGGGAAAGACTTGCTCAGGAGGAATTACTTCTGCAGAGTAAAGACTTCCCCAGCTACAGTGAGAAGGCAGTTTTGCATTCGAATCTGGGATTCAGGGCACTATACTCCAGGATTCATTCAATTGGAAATCACTAGCCCCTGTGATGTTCCAAGACAGGGTGGCATTGGTGGTGTTAGAAGGTAGTCCCCTTCCTGCAGACTGCTCTGGTCCCTCCAACTGTGGACTTCTGTGATTCAGATGGGCTCACCCCTTAGAGTTTCCAAGGGTCCCCACCGTTATGAATACAGCCCTATTTTATTGGGATAAGATGAGGAACCTGAGCATAACTGCAGCTGAGCAGCACACAAATCATCCTAACAGGACACAAAACCATTTCCCTATCAAGTGAATAGAATACTCTGCCAGGTTCTGTTGGCAGCAGAGAAATCAACCCTTTGAAATACCCAAATGGGGTGTCACCCCCTTCTTGGGTTTCACTTTTACCTTTGAGAGATCCCCTCTTTACTAGGAGATAGATTTTCTTTAGAAAATATTTTTCTTAAATAGCTATATCCTTTTTTCCATTATAACTGCAAACAAGGGTCAGGAGCAGGCCCCTGATGAAGGCATAAATACTGATTCTAGAGGTGGAATGGTTTGGCTCCCACTTTGTAGAATCCCCTTGGGTGAAATCTCCCCCAGAGCTGCACTGCCCTGGCTCTTTTTATGAGCTTGTTTATTTTAAAAAAAGAGGGCTCCCCAGGAGTTATGCAGGTCTTTCCTTCAAATGCTCTGGCCTGGCTATTGTAGGTGTGCATGGTCAGCCACACTTAAATGCTTAGAGAGGGCCTCAGTGGGTACATCATTCTCAAGTTTCCCTTTTTGCAAGAAATTAGACCTTTTATTATTGAGGGGAACGAAATATTTACTAACATCTGAAGTACTTTCCTAGGGGAACACTCCCCTCCTTATTCTCTTAAGAGCAAATATTTTTCAGTGCAAGAGAATTTAAACGTCAGCTTCCTGCTCTGTTCTCTTCTATCCCTCTCCTTTCCAACTGGCCACATGGACTCTGGGAGCAGCGCTCACCCGATAGAGCCTGCCTGGTCCTATTGCCTTCAGCCTGCTAAATGCAGGGCTTTATCTTGTTCATTTATAGGGTTACTCTTTTATAGCAGGCATGTTTATTAACTGGTAGCTGTTAATTATATAAGAAGATAATTTCATGTAAATGTTGGATTTAAAAGCAGCCTATCAAGCATGCTTGCTGTTTAACAAGAAGGCTTTGGGATTTGTTTTTTGTTACTCCTATGTGAGTGAAACAATTAATTGATTCAGTTGATTGAATGAAAAATGCATCGTAATTGCTTTACCCCATCAAGCAGCTACTAGACTTATTTAATGCTGGCAGGGGGACAACAGCCTCTATGATACACTGTCTCTCTGTTCATTGCCCTAATAAGGCACTGGAACTGGGGGCCTTGGTTAACAAAGGGACACTCAGATGGGGTCCTGGTGGTCCTTTCTCTGAAAGTAGAGAGATCAGCTCCAGGGATTTGGACTATTCAGCACCAAAACATGTTTAAAAGAAAGGGGGGTGGTGTCCACTTTGTCTCAGTTGTGCAGATAATTGCCAACCTGTTCCCAGTTTCTGGAGAATTGTGTCTGCCTAGAGATGGGATCCATGTCAGGAAGACATGATGTTCTCCACACAGCAGAAAGGTGCAAGGGCTCCCAGGTATATCTTGAAAGATTTCCAGAAGGTGATTTAAGAAAGACTAGGGATGGGAGTGAAAGCGTCTTACCAGGACCCATCTACACATCCAAGGACCGCATGTCTGATTTATCTCCAAGTCCCCAGTGCCCAAAGCAAGCGTCCATCGCTTGCTTTGAAATGCAGTAACCTAAACCTTCAAACTTGATCCTTAGTGCCACAGCTGAAGGTAAAGCTCAGAGCAAACCACAGGCCCAAGCCTTGGGTCTTGGGTGTTCTACAGCTTGACCCTGATCCTGTCTGTTCACAGAGATCTTCACCTGACCCCAAGAAACAGCCCCATGGATCCTTGTTGGAGGGCACATACTATGTCAGGCGCTGTATAATGCACATAGTTTAAATGGCCCCACACAGATGTATTTATATTTGAGTAGATTCTTTAGGGGAAGATATGATTAGCCCTTATATAAGCCTTGTAGAAGAACAACTGAGGCTCACCGGTTTGCCACTGCACAGGTCAGTAGAAAATAACAGAGCTGAAATTTGAACCCAGCTCTCCCTGCCCTGAAAGCCCAATACCCAATAGTCAGGCACATGGAAAGTCCTTGTCTTTTTGAGTTATGGTCACCCTATTGTGATTGCTGTCACTATATTCCTATGATGCTACTTGCCTCCATTGACACCCCACTTTTATCTAAGATGTCCCTATTCCGTAATAAGTTGTTTGTGTCCCATGCAAGGTTTTACGTTACAGGGGACCCCAGAGTTGCCCTTGTCATCTTCCCTTTTGTAATGTGCCCTTATATCAGTCAGCTTTCCTATTGCTGGGACGCAAGCGCTGATACCCAACAGTTTAAAGAGGAGAGGTTTAATTTGGTTCATGGAGGTAGATTCAGTTCATAGTCAATTGGCTCCGAGGCAGGCAGTATAGAAGGCAGTGGTGAACAAAGCTGCTTGGTTCATGGCAGCCAAGGAACAGAGCAGGGCACAAGTGCCAGAGAGGAATAAACGAGGAACCATTTACACTTTCCAAGGCCACACTTCCATGCCCCACCCAGACCCACCCAGGGTCATGCTCTCATCATCTGCTAGGTATTTTTTAATCCAGTGAAGTTGACATAGCAGAATTAATAGTCACAGCCTCAGGTTAACTGACTCAGACTCACTCCTGAAGCAGTGAGAGGATGGGATTGGGTCCACCAAACTGGAACCTCCTCTCTACAATGACCTTTCTAGCCTTTATACCTAGAACTCCCAAAGAAACATTCAAATAACAGTCACAGAACTTCTCCTCCTGGTACTGGTTATAACCATGAACGTCATATACAGAGGCCAACAGATGAGACTCACACTAAGGAACACTGACCCACAAAGTTTAAAAAGAGAGAAAAAACACTGTGTTGTGCACTGTGGAGTTTTCCCAATATGGACAGAAATGTAACATAATAAGGAGAGATCTGCTGACTTGTCACATGCAAGAGAGCAAAAGCACAAACATTGCTTTGACCTAATTTGTTCCATAACATCAAACAACAGCAGCAATAATGGTAAAAGACAAAGTTCACTTTGGGTGAGTTAACACAGGCCAGCCTTGAATTTTTTCTCAATCACTAATATGAATTATTTAGTGTTTCTAAAATTAGGGAGCATTTCCAATGCCAGTGGTAATGACTTTCCAGATGAACGTCTATCACAGTGGAAGACATTGGGCCAACTGGGTGCTGTAACCACGACCATATGTCACCAAGGCTCCCCTCTCCAGGGAACCACTACAAAGCTAGTTAGAATTAGATGAGAATAGACTGGTGCACTCTCTTTCACACCTGGGCATTGGTATGTCTGAGCCAATGTTTTATTGTTATTGACAAAGACACACATTGCCACTGGTCAGAGCAAGACCCTTGCTAGAAAGACCTCTCCTACAACACCAACATTACTACTGTGCGGTGTTGATGAATTCCCAACTTTCATCATAAAGCATCCTGAAGAACACTGCGTTCTCTCTTCTCCTGGGGATTCACATTGTACCTCAGCACTGCAAAAGCTTTGAGAAGCACTGCAGCGGAGAAATATCACACTGCCCACAATTTGGGAAACATTAAGTGGATGGCTCTCTGCAAAACTGACATTCTAGAATCACGGAAGCACTGTGATGTGTCTCTTCTGAAGGTGCTTTGTGATGTAGCTCTCCTAAGGCAGCACTCCGGTCCTGTGGAGCTATCTCCTCCTGGTAATCATTAGGCCTTCCTTGTTCTTGAGTGATTACAAAACTCTTGGAACTGTCTAACAAATAAAGGGTGCTTATTACTAGGGCATAAGGATTACTGGGTTAACTCACAATTCGTGATGAGGTCAAGAATCAGTACCTGGGGGCTAAATCTATGCTGAGTGCAAGTCTGGGAATAGAGGCTCTTTTTCAATTCCTCTTTGACTTTCTTTCCACTTGCACCTCTTTCTCCTCTCCATCATACCTTTTCCCATCCATCCAACCAGCCTGCCCCCTCATTTCGCATTCCCTTGATCCCTCCTCCCCACCCACACACAGCCCTTCAATCTAGGATGGGCCACATGGCTGCCAGCCGCCACAGCTGAGTCAGTCCTGAAGAGTGAGAAAGCATCTTTCTTCTCTCATCATGACATCAACCAAGGAGCAGGATCCTGTGGCATCAAGAGTCATAGATCCACTCCTGAGGATTTATCACTGATCCTGGCATGCTCTGTGGCCACTGGGTCACACACTTCCCCCTACGATCAGGAGGGGACAGCACACAGAAGTTGCCAGTTCACCAGCACTGCCAGAAGGGTTCCCAAAAAGAGCGAGGGTTGTCAGAAAAGGAGGGGGAAGGGAAAGACTCTAGGACATACACGAATCCTCCACCCATCCACAATAGGGAATGTTTAGCAATGAAGCTTTTGTGACATCTCACCACTTCAGTAACCTTAGTTTATTTAAGCCAGACAGCAAATGTCTTGAATGTGTGCAAATTTGACTATGTAAGGAATTCTGTTCTAAAATGTTAAAGGCATCTCTGTGTTGGAATAATTAATGGTCAGCTTGCATGGAAAATGGTCTGGGTGTGGAAAGCCCACCTGAGGACTGTTGCTGGAATGGCATAAAAGGAGAGCAGGAATGGAAGATCACTTACTGTTGATTCTCCTGGAGAAGCTTGCCCCAGCTGGTTTTCCTGATACGAACTCAGCTGTTCTCTCCTTGTTTGAGGAGCTCAGGTCCTTGCTGTGACCAGGATGGCTGTGGTTCTCTTTGCAGGAGCTCTGATCTTCATCTTGAGCATCGCTTCCTGGTTCCAGTGCAGCTCCTTCAGCCTGCTGGCTCAGATCCTTCACCCTATTGGCACAGACATTCTAGCTTCCACCACTGGCCTTTGGGTCTTCCCAGTGCAGATCCTTGATACAGACTTGCATGAGCCATTGCCATGGAATCTAGGCTCTCAGCTGGATTCTTTGGGTCCCTGGCATGTAGATGATTTCTAGCACTCTTCTGCATTTGACTTTTGGGTGAATATTATAAAATAATCCCATAAATTATGTGTCCTGTGTTAAATTCCCATGAAAACCACTGACTACAATAATATCAATTGTTTTGCTTCTACAGTCCACCCGGATCAGCAGCCATTCATCCAAATGAACTGTCCCTCTTCAGACACTGCCATTGGTGAGTATTTCTGTTCTGGAATAGGAGGATTTATGATCAAATTATCCATTCAGTGACACAGCACAGGACCCTGGAAATCACCATGTCTGTTCATGTTGCTGCAGAAGATGGTTCAATATTCAATTATTGCTTTTCCTGGAGTTTTGTCCACACCATGCCAAAACAGTTAGTTTAAAAGTGAAAAATTAGGTTCATCAAATAAAAGCACCATTTTCCAATGTGCTGGGGTGAAGGATTTTCAACCTAGCTCCCCATTGTGTTGGCATAGAGGTCTAAGAAGTTACCAGTCCCCTAAAGGAAAGGTAAGGTTACTCAGTAGGGAAGCCTGGGACTCCATTTGTGTGAATGAAGGTGATAAGTCACTCATGCTTAATTTCTCATTCTTATGGACTCAGTGCCATATAAGGGCTTTGTAGGTCATCTATATCCTAAAGAGGCTGATAACCTTCCCTAGAATGGAATGACTACCATGAATGAGGGCTAACGCACCTGCCAGGGCAAAGCAAGTAGACTGGGGAAGGGGGTTTGTGAGTCATTGTATCAATTCTCTCTCACAATAACTATGGCATCTACAAAGCTGGGGCCTCAGGTAGATGAGAAGTGATGTGAGGGCCGAACCTCGAAGGGTTGTGAGACCATCCAGGAGCAGGGAACTGCGGTCAGAGGAGGAAACAAGTGATTCCAGCAGAGAAAACAGGATGCAAAGCTTGTGGGATCATGAGTTCAAGAGAGCATGAATGCATTGGGTGGCTGCGTCACTGCCCTCGGTGCAGGAGTCCAGCCAGCAAAGGTCTTATCATGGTTATGGATGAGGGTACCAGATAGCATAGCCAGTCTGGAAATGGCAACACCTGTACCAAGAGCAAAAGTACCCACTGCCCCAAACTAACACCCCCCCTACTCCTCCTTGGGCTGATCAGCTGCCACGGTTCCTCCGTGTGACCTCTGCAGCAGCTTAGGCCTCTGGGAGTTTTTCACTTCACAGAAAAACAAGATCCCAAAAGAGACACTGAGCTTGCTCCTAATGTGGCCAGTCTGGACACACAGTCATTCTAATTTTAAACGCTAATGATCTGCATGAAAGCAGGGTTAGGTGGAATTCAGCAGTTACACATCCCAAAACACAGGTACAGCAAGATCTCTGTACTTCTGATTTTTTATTTTAACTGGCAATTAAACCCAAGGCCTCCTGCACTCTAGGCAAGTGTACTAGGCAAACACTCGACCACTGAGCCACAGCACTAGCCCTGCATTTTCAATCTGGAGAAGGTAGCCTATGTGGTTGCACTGAGATCATATCAGATCAGCCCCCGAGTATTCTCACAGTAACATTTTTATTAGTGAAGATCCCTGAGCACTAGGAAATGTGAGCTAGCAACTAGGAATTTAGAAATACTGAAATTACTCCTGTCTTCTCCCTTTACCTCCAACAATTTGACCTCTATGGCTTTCCAAATATCTGAGAGTCCCAGGCCAGGAGTCTCTCTGTGAGGCTGACACAAACATGACCACACATACCTGCCTATACCGGTCCAGGCCTTGCCCCACACAGCTCATTTCTCCCTCCCTTGCTATCTCCACCTGGGAGCACCTTAGGGGAAGGAACACCACAAAGGACCTAATGTGATGCTTTAAAAATCCTTTGTGAAAGGCACAAATGCATGAGCATTCCTCATGTACAGAGACGATTGTCTGTGTCTTTGCCTCTTGCATGTGTGATATGCTGTAGAGGCCTTAATGTATAAGGGGGCAGAATCTCTGTTGGCACACAGACCTGCCGTGACCGTGGAAGCAGGCCCTACCTTGCCTGTAGGTAAACCAAGCATGGTGGCATTTATTTCTTAGCTCTTGCTAAGAAGATGCCACTATAACATTGGGATTGTTATTGGCCTTGCAATGAGTGTGGTAAGGACTGTGGTCCATGATAGCTGGTTAGCAAGTGACTACCGAGGTCAATGTCCAGTCACTGGGAAAGTCACACTGTCCTTCCCCCAAAGTGGCACCATTGCTTATAAGAGTTACAAAGAGACTTTCATGTTAAGAAATGGATTTCTAAAGCAACTAAGTAAATCATTGTACACTATAATTATCCAGATAGGGATTTTCACCACTCAAGCCTAACTAGATAATTAAATAATTGCCAAACAGTTGGAATACTATATTGTACATATTTAAAGACAGTCTGCTATGTTAGAAGCTCTAGAATGTTAATTCCATACTCTACCGCTCAGTGAGTAGGGTAAGTATCTACAAGTCACCATTATTAGTTTGTTTTAAACCTTTGGTTCTGTTACCCTAGAATTGAAATTCTCCTCAAGAAAAAGAGTTGAAAAATCACTGAAGAGGTTTTTCAGGGATACTGGAGATGTGACAGTGCACTGGAGGAAAAGCAGAGAAAAGTCCAGGGTGCAGAGAGGGCACTATTCTCCTCGTGGCTGGGACTCCTTCCAGGCAGAAAGGGACTGAAGGAGGCACGGATACCCAAAAGTATCAAGTACATTCTGGAGATACAGCAGCCAGGTTCAGGAGTTTTAGAAAAGGCAAGATCATCTGGAAATCTTGAACTCAGCAACAGTCTTTGTGTGTCTACAAAGTCTGAGCAACAAGTAAGAAGAAATTGTGTCCTTTGCTTTGGTCAATTGACCCACGACTTTCCTACTTTGGGATTTTCCCTCGTTCTGCCCTCTTTGCCTGAGAGGTTCTCCCCATTATCTTCCTCTCCCAGGTCACCTTCACCTTCTATCTCATGTGTCACTTCCTTCGCTGTTCCCTGAGGACTTCGGCAAGTGTGCAGAGGAGGAAATGAGAGGAACAAGACCCAGTGCAATGGCTTTGATTTTCAGTGCCCTCCAAAGAGCCACATGTTAAAGATTCCCAGCCCATCGTGCTATGGGGAAGTGGTGGAAGCTTTAAGAGATGGGGCCTAATGAGAGGTCTCCAGGTCACTAAGGGTCTGCCATTGAAGGGGTGGGGGCACCTCGGTGTCTTTCTATTGCTCTCTGACACGAGGTGAATAGTTTTGCTCTGCCATGCACTTCCAGCATGACATACTGTTGTGACAGGGCCAACTGATCACTCCAAAGCTGCAAGCCAGAATCTTTCCTCTTTATAAATTGATTGTCTCAGGTATTTGTTGCAATAACAAAAAGCTGACTGTTACACCTCACATCTGCTTTTGTAGCTCTCCCCATTCACCCATCATCTCAAAAGGAAGCTTACAAGCCCAGCATGTGCAGGGTTGAAATATGACTAAAACAGGAAAAATATAAGCAGCAAGTATTTTTAGAACAATTGCAAGTAGATGGCATCAGCTCCAACTAAATCAACCGAAGGCCTACAGGAAAGCCTTAGGGTTGCTCACAAGGCTTCCCTCCCACCTGTGAGCAAGCCGCCTTCCAGGTTCATGAACTTTCTAATTGGGAGCTAAGCAATAAACCATTCCTCAACAGAATGGAATGATCTGCGCCTTGATGACTGATTTCTGTGCTAATGCATCAGATCAGCAGCGCCGTCAATCTGAAACATTCACCCCTTTGGTGTTTTCAAATCTGTGAATGTTATGCTCACTAAGTTCACGTTGGAAGATGGCTCCCACCACCAGGCATGATTTGGTTTGAGGGAGGAGGAGTTCATTTTGTTTTGGCACTAGAGATTGAACTCCTTGAGCTAGATGTCCAGGACTTTTTTTTTCCATGACAGGATATCATGCCTGCTGTACTGATTCAGTTTTGATGTGAGAGCTGCTGTGACATCTGTCTACCCCACCCAGGTCTGGTGTCTGAGAGGAAAGGTTGTATACTGGCTTTCTGCCCAGAAAGCAGAGGCAGGCATCTTAAGTCAGCATGTTCTCCTGACTCCCAGGATCAGAGCCTACTTTGGCCCTCTGGCTCCTCTTTCAAGCTTAAGAGTCACAGACCAGTATACGGCAAGAAGGTGAAAGACACCCATGTCTCACTCTCTAGTAGTCACCTCCAGATCTTGCCCAGGCCTGGCCCAGGCCCATTGCCCACCCTGACCCGGAAGCTCTTTGTGACTCTTGTGGTTGTGTATAGATGTCCTAGGCTGTAGACCTGGCCTGAGCATTCAGCTTGGACTCTGGGCCCAGTGCTATCTATAAGCCCTGCTGAGTGGTACCCAGGATTTATTTCAAGATGTGTGCAAAAGCACGTTTACCATAGGTTTTCTTCTACGTCTCTCACAGCACCCATGAATCCTCCCGGGTGACCTTCTCTGTGCCTTTCTCTTGTCCTAATTCTGCCCCCTCCTTCATGCCAACAGTGGTGACAAAGGGATAAAAAAAATGTAGCAGCCACACCAAAACCTCGGACTCTAAAGAGGCATATTATTCAGGTCAATACACTTGAAAACTATATGAAAGCTTTTTACCCCAAAAAATCGTGCTTGAATTATGTTGAGAAAATCAACCATGTTCCCAAAGCCCTAGGTTCATTCATTTTGTTAATTGGTTTAGACAACTTTTATAATAATCTTTAAGTATGAAAATCGTTAGTGCCTATGAAGCCAGATTGCCACATCTATTGGCCACTTTTGGAATCATCCAGAGAAGCCAGACTCAGCGAGTTGCCAAATCGTGCCTCTTGATTACCATCTTCATCTTGTAACCCCAGCATGTGGGTTATGAGCAATAGTGGTGATTGTAGGAGAAGCTGATGAACCTCTTCTCCAAAGTTTCTGACTCAGTCTTCTCTGGGGTGAAGACACCTTTTTGATTTTGTGTATTAGAGACAAACAAACAAATTTTTCCAAATCAAGGGCTAGCTGATAAAGAAATGCCTGGCTTTCTTACTTCGTCTTTGGGGCTTATGTGGATATTATATTTGCATGGTAATGGCGCTGTGGCTGAGATGATTATACCTAAAGTCAGGACAATTTGGATGGTAATGACAGTAGTATAGGAACAGATACTCAGAAAAGAAAAAAAGTAGTAAACACATTTCCATGGGATTAGGTGAGCTTAGAGGTAGGGACTGACTTGCATTGCCATCTGCCCAGGCAGTGGGCATGCTGCACTGGCTGCTGGTCCACTGGCAGCTCGCAGTGTGACCTACTGCACTGCTCCTAGGTCCAGCTTCTATGACATATGGGATAGGCTTGAAAAACACAAGAGATGTTTGCCTCTTCACAACTCCATAGACTAAGACAGGAAGCACACATGTGGTCAGAAACTTAACACTACTTTTTCAACTCAGGTTAACCTTGCTATTTGATGATGTTTTTTTAAAAGAATGAAGATCCAGTTAACACAGAGCAAGCAGTGAAAATAATAATAGACTCATCCTAGGGCCATTCAGAAAGCAGCTGGAGGCCTGCCTACTGCTATCAGCCAGTTATTGATGAGTTCCAAGGAAAAGCAGAGAGCAGGAGCCAGAATGCAAAGAAGCAAAGCAGAGACCCTGAAGCAAGGGTAGAAAACAGACTGCTGCAGAGGTGGGTATGCTATGGACCTGAGGAACGTCTGAGCTTCTGAGACTATGCAAGCACTGGCTTCTCTGCAGTGTCTCCATTCCTACCCCATGCCCCCAGGCTTAAAATGAAGCTCTAGTACTCAAGGGGCCCTCAACCTCAAGCCCAGCCTTTCGTGTAATGAGCTGGCACTGTCTCTGTTGGTTCTGCTGATGGGCACAGAGCCCTGATGAAGCCTTCCCTAGCCTTCCAGAAAGGCAGAAAAGGGTCCAGGCTCACCCAGCCCCCGTAGTGTTGTCAGCCCCTGATGTAGTTTCATCAGCCTCCTGGAGGTGCAATCCAAGCTCGAGGCTTCTGCTCTCCAATCTGCGGTGCTTCATCCATCTCAAAGCCCAGAGCTGCCCAGCTGTGTTCCCAGCACAGAGCCCAGAGTGCCTGTAAGTGCCAAGGCCCACATGCGATCCTTTGCCTTTATCTTGTTAGCATAATGTGCAGCTTCATTAAACAGCCAGATGAATCATTTTGTAACTGAAGCTAATAAATTTAATTTTCAATTTTCTACTTTTTATAATAAAACATAGCCCTATTTTACCGAGAGGTCAAGAAGACTCCACATTGTCGTTTTGAGTTAGTATCAGTCCACAAGTATAAAATGGCAGATGAGGAAGGAGTTTCTTTCCCTCTCCTAATTGCACTACCATGTTGGGAATTCCTTGGAAGCTGAAACTGCTTCCCGGTTCTACAAAGAATGAAACTTATGGCCTGAAAGAGGATTCTTTTTTTTTTTTTTCTTTTCCTGTAACATGTTGTCATAGCTAACAGGGTGGCATTTGTCTATAATCCCAACACCCCGAAAGGCTAAGGCATTAAGATTGCCAAATCCTAGCCCAGTCTGAGAAATTTAGGAAATTATTCTTAAAAAAATGAAATGGAGTGCTGGAGATTGGAGCTCAGTCCAAAAGTCCTGGATTCAATCCTCAGTATGCAATCCCACAAAAAAAAAAAAAAAGAAAAGAAAAGAAAAGAAAAAGATGGCAGCATTGCTATAGGTCAATGCAAAGAACAAGAGTGACTCATAGAAAATAAACACTGCATAAAGTTGTTAAGGAAGTGTTATGGTATCAATTAGATGTAGGACTATAAGCGACTCAGTCTGTCTTGGAGAGATTTCTCCCAGGAGTCCTGCTCCCTCTCAGTCAAGTGAGCAGGACTGATGATGTACAGCTCCTTCTCACTACTGCGTTACTAAGATGTGAGAGCCAGTGATGATCCAGTCCTTGAGACACCAACATGGGAAAGAAGGCTAATTAGGGTGGGACCTGCCCTCCTCCTCCCCCTCCCCTCTCCCCCAGTCCCCTTCTCCCATCCCCATCCCCATCCCCATCCCCACTGCATCCCAGATGAAGCTTTCCCGCAATTGACTACCCAGCGCCTCATCCCTGATTAAGAATCTGGCTGCAAAGTAAAATGCAGTTAATTTATTGTAAGTTTTATTAGGCATATAAAAGAGAAGCAGCAATGACTAGCCTTTCGTTGCTCGAGATACATTTCATCCATGACTCGGAGCAGATTCCGCGCAGATTAAGCTTGTTAATTTCCCTCACAGCCAACATTCTTCCCTGCATTGCTGAAGCAAAAGCCACCGGCTCTCGTCTGAAATGGATGGGATGAAAAGGCTGCTCCCCCCACAACAGTTACATTAACCACTTTGTCCTTTTAATTCATCTAATTACATGCAAGGAGAAAGCTGCCGCCTTAGCCGGCTTCGCTCCTTGCCACAGCAAGCTGCCGCTGGGCCATTGCTGGGGCTTTTTGTTGTCTTATTAGGGGTGCTTTTGTTCAGAGGGATGGTTAAAGCCATTTTCAGCAGCTAGCGAGATGAAGCCGCTTCAATAAGGACACAATGTACTTGTTTAAATTACCTTTCAAAATGCTCAAAACCATTAAGGGGGAGGTGCTGCAAATAAAAGTTGGATTTTTTGTTATAATGTTTTACCCTAATAACAGCTTTTATTTTATTATAATCCATTAGTTGACAATATTATTCTATAGATTATTAGGCAGCAATTTTGTTATTTTATCACACTTTCAGCACTCACTCACCGGGCCAGAATCCACAAATCTCAGTATAATATGCTTTCAATTTTGTTAAAATCTCTATTTAACTGGTTTGGCTGCGGAACATCTTGGCAAATGTGTTTTTAATTTCGTTCTAATTAACTTGACAGTTGACAGAACTCGATGGTGGCATGATGGTGTCCCCTTTTCAGGGTCCCTGTCGCTCCAATCCTGGGGGCCATTTTTTTTTCTCTCCAGTCCTAACAAGCAAGATGTCAGAGCCAACATCCAGGAAAAGAGAAAAGGGTCTGTCATCTCCATCAAAAGTAGATGCAATTTTTAAAAAACCAATTAAAAATCTCGCTTTCCTCTTTAAGTGTAAAAAGGAAGCCTTTGGTTCTATGGGATCATCACAAAACAGGTCGTCTTCAAAAGATGAGATCCTAAGATGCGGGTTCTAAAAGACAAATGCAGACAAAGCAAGTACAGGTGGTCTGTCGCCTTCCCCGGATGCCGGTCTTTTCCCAACACCCATGGTGGGGACCCCGTCTTATAGTCTCTGTTTCTGGGTATCAGCCCTGAAGGTAAGTTTAGGAACTCACTTTGCTCTCTCAGCAGCTACAGTCTCTCCTGTCTGGGGAATCTCGATCTGCAGCCTTTGAGGTGCCAACTCCTTCTCTGCTTCCAGAACCCTGCAGCCTCCCTGGTGGTTAGGCTTCTCCTGTGACCCTGAGCACTGCCCACA